ACATTCTCCTTGGAGCAAGGTGTATTAGAGAAGATTATAAATACAATCCTTATTTGTGTGGAAGTGAATAAAAAATATAGAGTCATCAGTTTGTGAAGGCCTATTGATTGGTTTTCAACATTCACTATCCAGCTATAAACAAAACTCAAAAAGACTTCATTTTTACACAACCTTGACAAGGTAAAGAAAAATCCAGCTGACCATGTAATATGGAAAAGAGGTACAAGGGAGGACAAAGAACTGACAGCCCCTGCTTACGGGGGGGGGAGAGGCCCCTGATATCTGAAGCCGATTTGGGAAAGAGCAAATGCACCATGGAATGTTCTGAAGGTGAGCAATCAAAGAGTGAAAGTTACTTGAAAAGTCAAGGTTTTGAAAAAATCAAGAATTTTTTCAATGTAAATTAAGGTCTGAAGTTGCTATAAACATGAATAACACTGTGATCATTTTTAGAGCTGTGAAGGCAGCTGAAAGAACTTAGTAATCCTTAAAATTGTTCTTTTCAGTGTGCAGGAGTTGGTCAAGGGGAGTAGAATTGGGAATTTTATTACGATTATTATTATTGTTATTCTAAGCTATCCTACGCAATTCGATTCCTTACCTTGCATGTGTATCACTTGGAGTTTTAAGTCCATTGAGTATCTGCCATGTGGCAGGCAGTGTGTTAAATACTAGGTGTTTAGACATGATACCAGCCTTAGAACAGAAGCAAACCAATGATGTTAGGCAACAGCCCTCCCTGGGGGAGAGGAGACAGCCGACAATCACAGTGTGCTTCTCTGCGGGAAAGTTCGCCGCGTGTTTGGACAATTGATTGGAACTGTTGATGCAGGATCCTCTGAGAGGTAAATTAGGAGAAGCGTTTAGGACTTGGGGACTTGGAGACCTGACTCAGTTCCCTCAGATAATAATATTCTAGGCAGGCAGATAGAATTACCGAAAGTCCGAAGCTGTAAGATTCCTTGGAGAGTCTGTATCCAATTCTTTTCATTTTATACACAAAGCAGACTTGGTAGTGGCAAAGCCAGAGCTCAGTCTCAGCCCCTGGATTCCACATTTAGTGCCAGATCAAAAGAACCGCAGTCTGAGACGTCCCCTCAGAGCAGACAACTGCCGTCTATCCCATGCCTGCCATAGGCTATCCACCAATCTGGCCAGTCCACGTCTGTTATTTAATTTCATCCCCAGTGCAGCCATATGAGGTTGGCTATACCCATTTCAGATTCGATTTAGGGTTTAAATAATTTGTCTAAGATTCCCAACTGCATGGCATCAGAGCCTGGATATGAAAGCGTCAGCTTGATGGCTAGGTTCATGACCCCTAATCTCTGGCTCAGAGTGTGAGCCCCAGGGGTGGGGATGAGAGCAGCACATCCTTACATTGGTGAGCAGAGGTAAAAAAATAACCAGCATTTCATGTGCAGTAACTGAGCATAACAACACTTTCTGATTGTGAGTGAAGTGTGATCCTGCCACTGCATCCCCAGGGCTCTTTGATCTGCTTCTCCACTACTCCCCCGTTGCCACACTGGGGTGAAGGTTTGTGTGCAGTGCACCAGGCAACCTTCTTAATTAGAGGGGACCCCAGGAGCCTTCACATAGCCCCAAGCTATTCAGAGCAAAATAAACAGGAAACAGAAAAGGAGAGGAGAGATAAATTCTCACTGACTTTAAAAGATTTATACTGACAATATCCCAAGGAGCTTATGAAATGTACCCCCCCGCTTTTTTGTTCTGGTATAGGAAAGCTGTTGATGAAGAGATATCCCTCAACCACAGAGTTTCATTGAGAGTGAAAATACTTTAAGCTCGCTCTCTTATTGATAGTCCAGTTGCACAAAATAAAATTCGTATAAACATCATCTCACATATTAGACCTGGAAAAATAATCCATCTTCCAGTCAGCCTTGAAAGAGTCACATTGTTGAGTTGAATTATGGGGATAGAATTTACATGCACTTCAACATCTGGGAAGCAGGAAGAGGGGCAAGAAAAACACCCAGCTCCCACACCCCAGCAACTTCAGCCTGCTTCCCGAGATTACTGTGGTGAGCATGCATGGACATGCCATCTTTCAGAGAAGAGAAGCGGGGATGTACTTACCTTCCTTTGGCCTGAATTCTTTTTCTCAGAGGCTCAAAGAAAAAGTGCTGATTTCAACTCGACTTTGTGCCAATTAGAAAACGTCATAGAGATGTCTGAGACCAGAGCATAGTTGCTGTTTCCAGTGTGTTAATTATCTCACCGGACAGGGGCCTGTTTCCTAACCCCAGACTGTACTCTTACAGAGTCTGAGGTACATCTCTAGCCACAGAGATACTTCCTGGACACTTACCCTCCCCAGAAAGACACACACTTCTCCAGAATTGGAAAACCGAATAATTCCCAGTCTACCTTCTGATGTGCCATTTCTTACAACTGTAAATTAACACCTTACATTTACATTTAGTCACAACCCTGCCCTAATGTGAACTGGTGGTGCAGGGTGAGGTGAAGTTGATACTGGTCCCTCTTTTTCCCCACCTTGCCAGATCCATCCTCCTGAAGCATCACCTTGTCCTTGCCATTATCTTGTTCACAATACTTGGCTTCCTATTACCTACAAAATGCAATTGGAGCAAACTGGTAGGAATGGTCCCAAGATCTGTCAGTCTTCTCCATGTAGCCTATTCTGTAAGCAAATATCTTTAAAAATTATTTTCATTTTCTTTGGTAAGCAGGCAGAGATCTTCCGTCTGTGGGTTCACTCCCCAGATGCCCACAACAGCTGGGTTGAGCTGGGCTGTTCCAAAGCCAAGAGTGTGTTATTTTATCCAGGTGTCCTACATGGATGGCAGGGGCCAAGTACTTGAGCCATTATTTGCTGCTTCCCAGGATACACATTGACAAAGCTGGATTTCAAGCAAAGTAGCTGGGATTTGAACTAGGTACTCCAAAATAGGATGATGGTGTTCTGAGCAGAGATTTATCTGCTGTGTCAAGTACTCACCCCAGTAAACCCAAATAGTTTGTCTTTCTGTTTTTCGGCTTCTCCTCAATGTTTCTTCCAGCTGATTTTGTCGATGTGTTTGTTTTTCTCTCCCTCTAAGACCTAGCTCAAAGATCTTCTTTATGAATCTGTGCACCTGGCCCTAACTTCTCCTTCTGGAGCTCTCCAAAGTGCTTTACCTGGTGTTTGATTACAGTGCTTGCAGATATTTCTTTTCCCTTTATTAGACCTGAGGTTCCTTGGAGGCCAGATGTGTGTCTGGTTCATGTTTGTGTGCCGAGGGCAGAGCCTATCAAAGTCTACATCTAATAAATGGACTTGAGAGCAGAAAGGAGTCAATAAATGGATCTGATTCAGTTCCTGTGTACCCTTCTTTCTCCTTCTGCTCTTTCAATTTCCTGAGTTATACAATCTTGTCCTAAGGTACCCTAAGCCATATACTGTATTTTAGATTAATAGACATCACAGTAGACTAATGAGAAACGTTAAAAAAAAAAACCAAACAAACAAAAACAGAGTATCATTTAGGAATCCAGAGAGCTGTGCTGACTTTCAAACCACATTTTGGTGAACTGGTCATTTCCCATCTGGCTGTCTAGTCATCTTCTCTAGGAAAATCAGGAATGAAATGGGAAAGATGAAAATGATGGATTGTATTAGATGATCTTCTGAATGATGAGCCTTTGGCTCTGCTCCCTCTTCTTTTCCCTGTACTCAGAATAAAAAGTTTCCCTCTCCCCACTATAAAATAGGGTCATAGTATAGTGGAGGATTTTAGGACACTTTTGAAGGACATGGATCATACTGAAACCCCATAGAAGGCTCATTCAACCCTCAGAGTGTTCAGTTTCTAAGACTGGTCCCATTTCACAGTCCAGCTCAAGAATAGCCCTGTTCTCACCCCATCTTGATTTTAATGGGAAGTCCTTGTAATTGCCTTTGGAGTGTTGCAAATGACAGGTTTCTGGTATAATACCTTCTCCTCAGAGGATGCTTTGCTTCCAGCAGAGATTCCTCTCTTTCATCTGCAGAATTCCTTATTGAAGGCTGCCAGTGCATTCTTCCCTTTGGTAAATTGGGTTATCTGCTTCAGGAGACCTTCAGAGTGATGAGTGGGGGGTTGGTTTAAGAAGGCTGAACACAGCAAGTCATTCCCACTGAGGACATTGGACTCTTGATGGACAGGTTTACAATGCAAAGAGAGCAACATGTAATGGATCAAAAGTTTGATGCAGAAGTGCAGCAAGTAAAATTAATGAATGTTAGGGAGCAGTTGGAACGATAAAATGGTGCTGTGGTTTTATGTTGATGGTAATACCCCTGAGTATAAACTTTGGACAGGTCATTTGGCCTGTGTGACTGGAATCAATGTTGGCTTGTCCCAGAAGAAAACTTTGCCACAAGCATGGTAACAAGGGGGGTTGGCAGGACTTTCTTTGTGGAGACCAGTTGTAAATTCACATGACTCATAAATTCAAGATCTCACATAGATCCGTGAAGATTATTGCATTCAGCCAGCCCCTCTTACTCTATTTGAAAGTGAGGTTTCTGAGACTTAAGAAAGTTAATTATTTGCCCAGAATCACTCAACCATTAGGCAAAGGAGTACATATCCTTTGAAAGACAAATTTTTATTGCTATTTATTAGATGAAAACATGAGATTGAAAACCATTATATTCAAGGACATGAACTAGTAAATAGGGGAGTTAATGTTAGGACCTTGTTCTACCTGCTTATAGAATCCATGTTGCGAGTCCCAGCACATATGCATGAAGTCATACTGTTTGTAAAGAAAACCCTGAGAGAGAAGAAAGTGGACTGGGTGTGCACAAAGAAGTCGAGAAGGGCCTGAGAGCATCCCTGACTTTGATACTGCTAGTTCTCCACAGAACTGCTTGACTTTGCAGGCCTGACTTTCATCCTGCTAGTTCCTCAAGTCCTGCCACAAAGCTACCGAGGTTCCTCCTGCCTGGTCACATCTGCAGGTTTATTGTCCCTCTGTCTTTGCAGGCTCCTTCCTCCTCCTCAACACCTCAGCCGAATCCAAGCACACCATCCTGAGCCCCTGGATGAGAAGCAGCAGTGAGCACTGCACACTGGCTGTCTCGGTACACAGGCACCTACAGCCCACAGGGAGGTATGTGGCCCAGCTGCTGCCCCACAATGAGCCTGGAAGAGAGATCCTCCTGGTGCCCACTCCAGGGAAGCATGGGTAAGTCCTTCCCATGTCCCAAGTTAATCTTGGAAAAAGATGACTACTTGGCTTTTGGCTGTGGATTTCTAGAGTCTGTGACATCTACTTAAAATTCACCGATATTCTCAGTGGAGACACCCAGATTGAACTCCTGCTGTTACCATTCCCTGATAACAGCATGAATGTTGACCTCCAGGTCCTTCTGAGTGCTGTCTATGGTCCTTCCAGTGGCCAGAGGATGTTTCAGCAAGTGTTAAAGATACTAAAATCCAGAGAGAGCTGAAGGCAGGATGGAAGACCAATGTTGGAAACTGAATTTTACTAGCAGAGGATGGGCAGGAAGAGAAAGCGCAGAACAATGTGACAACCTAAGTAGGTGGGGCAGGACTGTAAGATACCAAGGCAGAATTAATCAGGAGCGTTTAGACCACTGTCAATTCCATGCAGTCTGGAAAAGAACTTTATCCTGGAACTTGTGCAACACTAAAATCACACCACAGTGCCATTAATAATGAATCCTTTGAGTTTTCTGGAGCTACTCAGTTACTCGGTCATTCCTCAGGCCTCTGTAGAAAGTGACGCTGGAAAACATCCTTGAACTAGAGCATTTCTGTGCCTGTGCTTTTGCCCAGTTCCACAAATGAAAATACCATCACATGCCGCCAGCTCTGAGGGCCCCAGATCCAATCACTTTATAATTCATAAAGGAACCCTATTTTTTCTGACATCTTTGCAGGAGAAAGATCCAACCCTTTCTAGCTATGCTTGGACTTAACTTTCTTCTAAGAAAAATACCTTTTCATAGGGGTCTCACTAAATGATGAATGTTACTCAGAAGCTGTGGTACACTTGCCTATTATTTATCCAGTAAGACCAATTGGCACCATTGGTATTTGAGTCTCCTCTATACTGTCTTCTATTTAGTTATGCTAAAAGAACTATAAAAGCTGCTGCAATCCCAGAAAGAATAAAATCTTGGTGTTCACCAGGATGCTGGCCCCATACCTATACCCCATAGCAATCTTTGTCTATTAAATTTTTCTTTGCACTAGTTGGTATGGTTCCAACCACCAGATGCCTCTTGGCTGTACTGACCCAGAAATAGTGTTCAGTGTCTGGACTGCCTTCTGTTTGAGATGAGCTGGTGTCTGGTGCCTAACCTGCCTCCATCATAACCTTGCTTTCTAATGAGAGGTGTGTCTGTTTTCTCCCTGCATAGCCGAGTCAGAGACAACACTGCCTTGGGTATGACAAGTCATAGAATGTTACAAAAGATTTACCCTCCTTCATCTTCCTATGCTGATAACCCCCAAGTGAATTCTTATTTTAACAGTTGAGCACATTGAGGCTAAGAGAGAAAATGTGAATCTGGCATGGTAGAAACCGAAATGCAGCTCTCCTCTCCCCTTTCCTCAGTGGTGCTTATCCTAGAAAACCCCAAGCCTCTCAACAGAAACTTGGGAAAGAAGAAAAACAAGGTGGAAAAAAGGCCTTACAAAAATAGAGATGATTTAGATTATTTAGTGCCTCATAATCAATGGGTCCATGGTCTTGTGGTAGTAGTATTTTTAAGGGCAGCCCACCATTCTCCCATGTGACTGAAGCAAGAAGCCTGAGGCTGCATGGTGTGGGCAGGTTATGAGCTTCCCCTTGAGGCCACTATGATCTCTCTTCTCAAGGACCGCCCCACTGGTCAATGCATCCCCTTCCCAAAGTGACAACTCTTCACTTGCGAAGTCAGTCTTCCCTCTGCAGGGTGTGAGTTGAGACAAGAGAAAGGGAACATGATTATGTTGGGATAATGAAATGATTTGATGGCTTTGCCCGAGCTGCCCTGACATCTGTCTACCAGGGCTTTGCCTTGGTCCCAGGTTCCATGATTTCTAGGGTAAGTGAACATTCTCTCCTGGCCTTGGCTGAGCCATCTTGGAGTTGAGTGATGAGCAGTAGTGATTCCAGTTTTAAATTAAGGATGCATGGGAAAAGCTCCCCAACTCCAACAAGATCAATATAGTCAGGGTAGACGATGGCAGGTGAAGAAGAAATCAATAGACCATTCTATTGCATCGAGGCATTCTGCTCCCCTGGGCATCTTGGCAAGCAGTAAGACACAGGGCACTTTCCCAGCAAATCCAGGAGTTCTGGGTATATTTATGGAGTTAGGTCAAGGTTTTAAGTTTCAGTGTTATTGACACTGGGAGTAGAACAGTTCCTTTCTTGGGGGGAGTGTGGATGCTGTCCTGCATATCATATCCAGAATCCTATTCCACCAATGGGACACCAGTAGCAATCCCCCAGTTATGACAGGCAAGACTGTTTCTACAACATTACCAAACATCTCATAGGAGAGACATCAATCCTACTGAGAAGGTCTGAATTACATGGGGTTACTTTAAAGCTGGGAGGAACTATGGAATTTGCTCCAATCTCCTAGTTTACTGGCTTAGAAACTGAGGTTTGGGACTTCTGGGTAGGGGGCTCAGAACTTGCTCATTTTAGATAGGCCAGTGTCTTGAGTGTTACATTGAAGTGTGTCAATCACAGTATCGGGTCCTGGGTTTCAAAAGCATGCAAGGCATTTTCCCACCCTTGTGTGATGATGATTGCTGTCATTTACTCATTACTTCTTAGATGTACTTTCCATATACTGCTGTGCACTTCTCATGTATTTGCATGTTTAATGCTCACGACTTTTGTTCATGAGTTTCCTCATCTGTAAAATTCAAATAATCTGCTCAAGGTCACAGGTAGACAGGATCAGATGGTCAGAATTCAGCTGGCCTGACTTCAGATCCTATTTATCCACTGCTCTAAGATCTCTAAGATCTCAAGTAACTCACAGTAGTGCAGCAGGAAAAAAAAAACCAATCAGCAGCCCTAAATTGCCAATTCAACCAACCATCATTTATTAAGTAAAAAAAAAAAATCTGTTTTTAAGGACTGTAGAGATGCCAGGGCCCTAGAAGGACCAGTCTCTCTACCAAGATTGTTTCATGAATGAGTTCCGTGGCTTTAGGCAAATCCCAGTCCTTCTCAAGGTTCAGTTTCCTTATCTCTAAAATGGGAATGACACTGCTGGCCCTGCTCATGTGCTGCTCTGAGGTCCATGCAATAAAGGTCAGAGGGGTTTGCCTGCTGGCATACAAGACACATGTAAGAGGCCATATCTGAATATCCGGATCTTCTTTGCTCATATCTTGGGAATACAAACATTTGACTTCTACTTTGAGGTGACTGGGTCACTGCCAGTCCTAAGAATCCTTCAGATTGGAGATCCTCAGCAGTTGGCCTCTCTGAACACTCACTGTGTTTTGTGTCAGAGACACCCAGGGTACCACGGGGCTCAGAACAGTGAGGGGGGATACAGTGATATCCTGGTGATGCCTACAGATGATTACGAGCAAGGCTGGCTTCCTCTCATAACAGGAGATGGTGGCTTGGGGACCACTCTTTGGAAAATGACATTCAGTGTTGGGGTAGTAACAAGGGAGGAAGTTGTAATAATAATGCCAGCTGGGGAGAGCCTGACTCAGAGGAGTGGGATGAGGAATGACGAGTCAGATATCTCTAAGTCCCCCAGAAACACCCAGATGTGTCTATTGCGCCATGTGTGCTGTTTGCCACTTCACGTAAGAGCAGCAGCCTGCTTGCAGACAGTCGGAAGCAAGGGAAAGGCAGTCAGGGAATCCCAGCAGCTGCTCCCTTCCTGGTCACCCAGAGAACAGCAATGTGTAAGGTCTGATGAGTCACAGGGGGTCTCTGAGGATGTCTGGCTTTGCAGGAATTCCTGTGTCCCGTATGCTCATCAAGCCAATCAGAATAGCCCCGGGAGCAAGGAAGCAGAGAACCTGTGGTTGTCACACAGCCAGGACTGGCCAGCCAAAGAGTCAAGCAGGCATGGGACATCTCAGCTAAAAATGAATGGCTCTGAAGTCCCCATGAAGTGAATGAATGCAATTATAGTAGGTACAGAAACAATGGGTCCTTTTAATTTCATGCATTCATTGAACAACCATGGATTGAGGACCTCCCCTTGGAATAGATGACGGGCATGGCACAGTCCAAGATGATAGGTTCACAGCCTTCTAAGAATAGTCATGTAGTGTAGTATAGACCAAAATAACAGGACATCCAGAGATACTGAGAGGCTAAACTAAGATCACTGGCCTGCAGAGCCCACACAAACAACCCCATTTTGCCTGTGCCCAATAAACTATCCACGGGACAGCACTATCACTCTGCTGTGTGTTAGAAAAAAACAGGGACAGCAGCAATAGCTGTGTGAATCCGCTTCCCTCCTTAATACAGGCGCACAGGCTTGGGGTTTGGTGCTGTCTGGGGCTGTTGGAAATAGTCAGTAGTGCCCTTCTCGGATGGTACCCTCAAGTCCTCCTTTCCAAGTACACAGCTTGCTCCTCCAGCTGAGAGTGTCTGGGGACTTGATTATGTGTGACCAGAGCTACACAGTGTGTGGAGGCAAGAATTGGGCCCTGAGGGGATAGCAGTTGCCAATCATTTGAATTACTAATACTGGAAAAGATGTTTTAAATCTAAAGAATGTGCTGATGTTCAGGCTAAAGCAGAATTGAGGCAACTGGGCCATTCCCAGCACAAACACTGTGGAGGATAGAGCCAAGCCTTGTCTTCCTGCACCTTAATCTTCTACCCCCAGAAGATACTGTAGTTCATCCTCCTCCCATTGGCTTCCCATGTAGAGAATCCTCTGGGAATGATGAAATGTAAGGAAGGCGAGGCTGAAGCTTGTGGCCCAGCCAGGACCCAGCTGCACGCTGGACAGAACCTTGCCCCATTCACTGCTATCTGTCTCCCTGATGATCAAGTCCATCAGCGAATGCCCACACTTACTGACTATAGAGGAAAACCTGCAGCCAACCTCCCCAAGAGAAGATGACCCAAGGTCTGTGTTTGGGGAGGACCCACACAGCAGCCACACTGGCTTACAGCAGCTCTGCCCAAGGCTCCTGGTTTACATGCATAAGTAATTTAACCTGGAAATG